TTCTGACTCATAGCAACCCTATAGTATAGAACAGAACTGTTCATAGGATTTCCAAGTTTATAAATGCTTATGGAAGCAGACTACCTCATCTTTCTCCCACAGAGTGGCTGATGGGTTCAAATTGCTGACCTTTTGGTAACATTCAAATGCTTTAATCACTGTACCACAGAGCTGCTTTCTGGTCATTAGTACATGCTATTTCTAAAATGAAAGCAAATCAAAACAGAAAAATAATATAAAACAAAAAAGTAAAACAACTAGTGAAAAGGAATAAAGATATTACAAGATTTTATACTTTCATTGTCAATCTTTCTTAAAGCAGACATGATGGCTGTTTTAAGGAAGTGGGAAATAACTTCAATGACTCCATGGAGTGATCTTACATGATGGGTTAACAGAAGAAAAACTCAAAGAGGAAATTTGTGAGCTACTTCCTTTAAAAAAACAACTACAAAAAAAAAGAGGAAATAATATTTTAATATATTCTCAGCATGCACTGAGTGGCTAACCTCTCAAAGGAAGAAGCCTAAAGAAGTAGTCAAGGCCATCAGTTCCAGAGCCAGCTGTGAGCCATGCAACTTAGTAAAGAGTTAGAGGTATCCCAGCTTGCTAAGCCTTCACAGATGGTTAATACATGCCTCTCTGTCAGTCTTGTGTTTCCACTATCAGGTTGATTCTCCATTATAAAAACAGTGTAACTAATATTGAAAAATTAGAGTATGAAACATATTTCAAAATGTATGAAATGTTAGTCATACATATTTGCTCAGCTAGTATTATAGGCAGAGTGTAAATATGTGTAGAGTACTAAGTCTGTGCCAAGCACTAGTCCATGAGTGTCATTTTCTCCTCCATGTATTAATTCCATGTATTAATTCATTTTATCTTCCCAATCTTAGAAGAAAGGTTCTGTTATTACAACTTTTTTTTTCCAGATGAGAAAACCGAAGCTCAGAGAAGCTATGTAACTTTTTTCTTTGTTGTTGTTATGTTCCATTGAGTCGGTTCCAAATCACAGTGATTCTCTGCACAACAGAATGAAACACTGTCCGGTCCTGGACCATCCTCACAACCATTGCCATGCTTTAGCCGACTGCTGTAGGCACCGTGTCAATCCATCTCATAGAGGATCTTCCCCTTCTGCACTGACCCTCTACTTTACCTAACATGATATCCTTCTCCAGGGATTGGTCCCTTCTGAGAGCATGACCGAAATATGAGAGACAAAGTCTGGCTATTCTCCCTTCTAAGGAGCACTACAGCTGTACTTCCTCCAAGACAAATTTGTTTGTTCTTTTAGCAATCTATGGTATATTCAACATCCTTCATCAGCATCACAACTCAAATGCATCAATTCTCCAGTGGTCTTCTTTATTCACTGTCCAGTTCTCACAGGTATATACCATAGTTTGAGTCAGGCTCACCTTAGTCTTCAAAGTGACATCTTTGCTCTTTAATACTTTAAAGGGGTCTTTTACAACAGATTTGCTCAATGCAGGACATCATTTGATTTCTTTACTGCTTCCACGGGCACTGATTGTGGATCTAAGGTATGATAGTTAGGTTTGTGTGTCAACTTGGCTGGGCCTGGTTGAGTGCCTGGGAAGCTGGTGGTAGTTATTCCTCATGATGAGACTGGAAATCAACTCCATGGTGAGATCTACCACAAACAGATGAGTAGCTGCCTTTGGGATGTGGTCTGCTTCCTTTACATAAAGAGAAACCTTTGGGTATGGTCTCTAGCCTATGGCACGCTTGGACCCTGCATGTAGCTGTGTCATTGCTCAGCAGCCTGCTATGCTCTGCCGACCTTGGGACTTTCAGTTAATGGCATGCCGTGTGGTTTGGTAACATCATGACAGTGCCTTTTTACTTGTCAACCTTGGGGGATTCTCAGTTTCAGCAGCCCCAGCTGTCTGAGTGAAGAAATGCCTCTAGCTCCAGTGGGCCGAGAGCAGAAGGCAGAGCTGGACCCCAAAGTTGAGGGGCTCTCACCCAGCCCCTAGAGCCTGGCACTTTGAACTTGGACTAAAAGCCTCCAAATTGTAAAAATAAACTCCTGTTTGCTAAGGCCATCCCATTTGTGGAATATTCCTTTCAGAGCAGCATTAGGTAACCAGAACACAAGGATAATAAAATCTTTGACAGCTTCAATCTTTTCTCCATTTATCATGATGTTGCTTTTTGGTCTAGTTATGAGAATTTTTGTGTTCTTTATTTTGAGGTGCATAAAATTTTTCTTTAATTACTCTAAAATATATCTTTACAGTAATGTGTTGAAAGTATGTGAGCTTATAAGTATATAAGGTATTTCAAACTATTTTCAAAATAAAGTCATTTAAATGCATTTATTCTAAGGACTGAAGACATGATGCTGATCAAAACAAACATGAATAATTCTGACATATTCAGGCAATAATTAAAAATTAATGATTGATTTATTGCAAATGTAAGCTATGCACATGAACACATTTTGCCAAATTCTTTCTTATGTTACTATACAATATGAAGAGGAATCATTTTAGTGTTAATATTCCCTCAATTGTTCCAACCCGATTTGACTAATAGGAGTGGACTAACAGTAGTCTAAACTTCTACAGTTTTTTTTTTTTTTTTAAAGGAACCTAGCTTAAAAAAAAATAAAGATTTCAGCACATAGCATTTAATATGTACTATTATTTTTATTTATAAATGGGAAAAATGTAGGTTGGGAAAGTGACAACCTCTGACCACAAAGCAATTCATTAGGAGTAATGCACCTAGAATTCAGAAGTTATTGAATTTTTCCTTTGTGGTCACACCACAAACCATAAAAAATGTGTGGTGTACCATATGAAATATATTAAATTTCACTGGTTTCAATAGTCTTCCTAGACCATTAGCAATACAGTGACCTAATCAGTTTATTAAATGTGCATCAGCAGCAATCATACTTGTCAAAGACTTGAAGAAGAGAGATAGAATATACCAGTCTCCATTAAGTTGGTTGAAACCTTAAATGCTATCTTGTCTAAACCTCTCCCAAAACAAAAATCCCATCCAAAACATGTTTGAAAGTTGGTCATTTCCCTCTGTTTGAATATATTTCAATGACTAGATATTCTTTACTTTTAGAAACAACCTCTTCATTTATGAAAGCTTTATTAGCTATAAATGTTCTTTACTTGAATCAAAATTTGTTTCCTTAATTTTTGATACATTTGATCTAAACAGAGCTACATAGTCCACAATTTCTTTCCTGTAGCAGTCCTTTCATTATTTGTAGATAGCCATCACATCACCCTAAATCCTTTCCATGTTAGTTATCTCCAGCTGCCTCAAAGTTTCCTATAGGCCTGTTCTCTGATTTCTTATTGGCTCTGATTTCCTACTGGTTCCAGTTGAAACATGACCCATAAAAATGTTTACAGGATTGCAAGTTAGTCTGAACATTGTCATTACAATGAAATTATGGCTGCTGTCATATTGTTATTAATGTAACCTAGGTCTAGGTTTTTGTAGTTACTGTAGTTGCTACTGTGATGCAATTTGGTCACATGTTTGATTATTACTGAATTCATGGTAAATGAAAATTTCAAGTTTTTCACATGCATGTCTATCAGATTATGACTCCTTCCCTCTACTTTTCAACCTATCATAGTATAATTTGTCTATATTCTATCTACCTAAAATCTTAATATAGGCAGTTTGCTCTTTTAGCAATAATCTTAACTCTTTATCATCTGCATATCAGATAAGCTCATTTCCTGTGTTTTCATCCAAGCCATTAATCCAAAACTTTGATTAGATCAGGGACATTGGCAAAGACCTTTTGCTTATCATGTTTCTAGGCAGATATGGAACAACATACAGGCAGCAAACAAAAAAATTCAGTTTAGATAAACTCTAAAGGAATTTTGCCACCAGAAAAATCTAGCAAATGGAAGATACAGAATTACTTTCATTTATGTATTAGAAAAATACCAGCTACAATGATCACTCCACCCAGATTCATTCAAGGGTTGGGGGCTGGGTAACATAGGTCAGGAATGAGGCACCAACCTGAATGAGCATCCAGCTAAACTGGCAAAGATACAGGTAATGTGTGACAGCAGCCAGAGCTGAGCAGCTCTCCTCGGCCAGTTGGGGGCTTATATATGCAGATGCCAGAAACACAACCTGTAAGACACAAATATTCTAGTTTTAAATCATGCTAAAATTGTTGAAGAATATTAAAAATTAAAAAAAATAGTTTTGCCATCTGATGCTGTGACTCAATAATTCACAGGGAAAATAAGTTGATTTGTTGCCCAAACTGATATGAAAAATCATCATTTTAAAAATGGCCAATACATGGATTTTGATGTTTCCAAGAAAAAATGAATGAAATAAAGTACATGATGCATTGATTTCTAAAAAAAAAAAAAGAAGCGCTCAAAGTAAACCTTGTTCTTATCATTAATGAACAAAAATCCCATGAAATATATTTTAGCTAAGCAGAAAAAAAAGAAAAAACAGGGCTGAAGTAACATACTTTTTTTAAGTCAAAGTTAATGTGAGAGAAAGAAAGAAAAATATAATTTCTTACCAGGAATTAACGTATATAACAAAACAAGGCAAAATACATTTCAAATTTTGTATCTTATGATTTCCCTAACCCTTAGATGCTTTTATTTCTACTGCCTTTAAGACTTTGTCCAAATGTCACTTTCTCAATAAGGCCCACTATATAAGGCATCCCCCCTTGATCATGCTATTTCAAATTGCATCTTCTTTTCTTCTTCTCACATACATGATCTCCCTGACTCTTCTTTCCTTTCCTTCTTTCTTTTTAATAGCACATATTATTTTCTAACATACTGTGTTGTTTTCTTATTTATTATGTCTTTTGGTTATTGTTAGTCTCACTCTCTTGAATGTAAATCCTACGAAGATATGACCATTGATTGTTTTAACCACGGAATCCCAAACACCTACTTCAGTGCCTGGCACATTGTAGGACCTCAATAAATAATGGATGAATAATTGAATGAAATAAAATACTCCTGTTTTTCCTATCATTTTGTGTTTTTCCCCAATATATGACAACTGTGTGAAATTTTAGAATAAAAGATATAAATACCAAGGGAAACTTTGGAGCATAGTATAGTACTAAGCAAAAAAAATAAATAACACCCACTGCCGTCAAGTCCATTCCAACTCACAGCAACCCCTCCTTGGGTTTTTCAGATGGTATCTCTATGGAAGTAGAATCCTTCCAAGGAGTGGCTGGTGGATTTGAACTGCTAGCCTCTGGTTAGCAGTCAAATGCCTTAGGCACTATGCTACCAGAGCTCCCAGTATGGTACTACAACATGTAAAACTAAGGCTATCTGCTTTCATGAAGATTTATAGCATTGGAAACCTTATAGAATGGTTCTACTATGTTTTATAGGGGGTTTTTGTCAGAAATGACTCAATGGCATTGGCAATGGGTTATAACCTCTAAATCAGTATGCTTTCTTTTCCTTAAGGACAGAGACCAAATCTTTGTGAGGCCACTGCTTTTTTTTTAAAGAAAAAAAGTTTTCTTGAAAGAACGAATGGCTCATTCCAATATAAGACAAACAGAAAAACTGCTGCCAAAAAAAAAAAAAAAAAGCTGACTTATGCCTCAGAAACCTTCTATTAAAAAACACAAAAAGAACAATAACAGAAAAAGTACTCTTAATACTGTTTGGCTTTTTAAGAAATGAATTGTTGTTGTTGTTATGTGCCGTGGGGTCG